TCTCAGAAAGGCCTGTTCTCATTTGTGTAGAGTGAACCACGCCTCTCTTAGCCCTGTTTGTGCTGTGAGTTTGTCTGTTGTCTCGAGCCTCTCTCCTTTCTAAGGCGGCTCTGCTCTGTGTCTGTCTGACACCTTTCTCAAGTTCCCACATTTATTTTCTTTCCATCTCTGTTCCCATACTCAATTGTACTTGTCCTGTGTTTTGTAATTTGTTTTGTTCTACTCAGAAATAGTATAATAATTGTCTTAGTCATCTAGTGCTGCTATAACGGAAACGCCACAAGTGGATGGCTTGAACAAAGAGAAATTTATCTCTTCATGGTAAAGTAGGCTAAAAGTCCAAATCCAGGGCGTCGGCTCCAGGGGAAGGCTTTCTCTCTCTGTCGTCCTTCTCATCAATCTTCCCCTGGACTAAGAGCTTCTCTGCGCAGGGACCCTGGGTCCAAAGGACACACTCTTCTCCCAGCACTGCTTTCCTGGTGGTATGAGGTCCCCCTTCTCTGCTCGTTTCCCTTTCCTTTTTTATGTCTTGAGAGATAAAGGTGGTGCAAGCCACACCCCAGGGAAGCTCCCTTTACATTGGATCAGGGATGTGACCTGGGTAAGGATGTTACAATCCTACCCTAATCCTCTTTAACATAAAATTACAATCACAAAATGGAGGACAACCACACAGTACTGGGAATCATGACCTAACCAAGTTGACACATATTTTTGGGGGACACAATTCAATCCTTGACAAGAATCAAATTCAAATTCAGTTACTTTTATTTGTTTTGAAAGTCAGCTTCGTACCCTGAGCGTGTTTTCTCAAGACCTGGTTTAGGCTCAGGCTCTCGTGTTAACTATGTAACTGAGAAAGGCGTTTTACTTCCTTGAACCTTCTTTCCTCAGTTATGTACGGAAGGTCATGTACCTCTGGTAACTGAGGAAGTGAATGAAAACGAGAACCAAGCGGCGCCAAGTATGATGGCTTCTTGGATAGGTTAGAATATTAGGATTCAACTATCCAAAGACCCCGACTTCCATAAAACTTCTCTTCGTGGTTTACGTCAGAGTTAGTACTACAGGAACTGCAGGATACTTCAGTGTTTCTAAAACTTCAGTGGCAGCTTCAGAATTTCTGCTCATTTGTCCTGACGTTTCTACTCAGTTGTGTACTCTGTAGTCCTCCTTTGCCCACCTTCCCTCCTGATCAGACATCGAGAAGGTGGGGTGAGGGGGCTGGGTTGCCACAATACGCACAAGACATCTTTCATGATACACCACAACCTCTTGACATAAAGGTTAGTGAATAACGGAGACAGCTTTTTCTCTTTCGAATGACAAAGCCCAGTAGAAATTCTTGTTCTGTATGAATGATTAATGTGTAACTTTAAACAGATTTTAATTGACAGATTTTACTTCCAAGGATTCTAACCTTAGTTTCTTATCACTTGTTCTTCATTGTAACACACACACACACACACACACACACACACATCCTACAATGATTATTTTTGTAGAGATTATTTATATAGAGTAACTCATTGAAGATACTGGTTTATCTGCAGGCAGAATGCCCCAGTACAATCAGGTAAGACCCTCTCTAACTATCAAAATTAAGGAATCAGCTGACTGATCTAATGAACCTTTCTCCCTAGTCAAGGACAATCAATAGTGCCATTTTTTTTCCACGTAATAAGTTCATTTGCAAACATATCCAGTATGCTATAGGAGTTCAGCAGAGTTTGATCTAGTTTTCAGAGGTTGAGTTTCTCAAAACTCTCCTCTTCCTAGTCTGTTTCATGGGTGAACTTAAACATCCTTATTTCTTTAATAGTTGGTGTCTTGCTATAAAGAAAGGCGCAGCAAAATCCAGATCTAAAGTACAAAGTCATCATTAGTAGCTGCCACTTGTTTTCCCCTGAAAATGATAAATTCTTCCCTGGGCCCTCCTCGTAGTGGTTCTTATGATCACAGAGGTGGTCAGCCTTCCAATGCTCTGCCCCAACGCGGTGCTGTTGGAGGCTTTGCGAAAGGCTCAGAGACCAATTGCAGAAGAAATGCTGGCACCAACTCTTCCTGCTTTCACGACCGTCTACCCTCAACAGTGCCATCTTGATTTCCTTCTGTACATATGTTTATTTTTTTTTCCTGTATTCTTACCTATTCTCTTTTTACTTCAAACCTTCCATTTTTTGCCACTTCTTTTCTCATTCTTGCTCATTTATTCCTTCTTGATTCTTGCATGGATTGCTACTTTGCCAGTGGCATCCAGGAGGCAGTACCAGAGTGTTGTCTGGCCCCATGGTAGGACTAGAAAGGTTGTTAAATTTTCACACTAAACTCTGTATCTACTTTGAAAAGCATTATGTATCTACCTCAGGAGACCTGGTGGTACAATGGTTAAGCACTCGGCTGCTAATCCCAAGGTCAGTGGTTTGAACCCACCAGCTACTCCAAAGGAGAAAGATGCAGCAATCTGCTCCCTTAAAGATTACATCCTTGGAAACTATGGGGCAGCTCTACTGTCCTGTAGGGTCACATGAGTCAAAATCGACTCGATGACAACGGGCATTGTCTACTTGCTTATGTTACTGAAGAAATAATGAATAGTCACATGACTGAGGTTGAAGGTTGAATTTCAGATACCTAGTTTTTCTTGAAAAATAATCGTTGTGGGTATGTGTGTGTATTATGTGTGCACAAGTGTGCTTGTAGGTGTATTTTTTAAAATGAAGAACAAGTAATAAGAAACTAAGGAGGTTAGCATCCTTAAAAGTAAAATCTGTCAATTAAAACTTTTTGAAGCTAAATTGATCAATAATTTAATCACTTGGAATCATTTTGGAAATCTATAGACTCATCCTTTCTTTCTGGTGCTCACAAACCTCAGTAAGCGTCCAGCAGCTAAGAGGGATTTCCATCCTTGTGTGCTGCTATTGGTCAGCAGTGTTTGTGATTCGTTTTTAAGGGGCGGAGAAGGAGGGAGTGATGGTTTGTATATTTAATATTACATTTAAAAAGCCTCCCTGTATTTCCGTCACTACGCTGTTGTTTCCGTGGAATTGGAACCACCATCAGCAGCAGGAGTCCATTCCGGCTGCGGGCTTCTGGCTCTCATTTCTCTGTTACTATGGAGACTGCCTAGCAAGCAGCAGAAAAACCAAAAGTTTAAAAAACAGTGATTTGATTACAAAATATAGTTTTAACCCTAGCTCTAATCAGGTGTTCCACAATCTTGGCATTTTTGAATTTCATATTGTTTTGGGATCCAGTAGATTTCTTGAATAAAGCAAATTTTGAATTTTTATTGAAGCTTAAACACCATTAAAAAACTAAAGTTGCCATAACTTCTCTTAGAGTTGAGCCTAAGATGATTCCCAAATTTTAAATGGGGATTAGGACTTGAAAGACATGTCGTGAAATGAGAAGAACTAATGATGCAGAGAATGACAGAGTCCACACAGTAAGCCCCCAAACAAAGGATTAGTAGTGTGTAGAAATACTGATTATTTGTTATTTATGTGGCACATTGTGATTTTCACAAAGAAGTTCTGTCCAGTTTTCAAATGAATTAAAAAAAAAAAAAACACTTGGAAACCTTAGGTTTAGAAATTAAGTAAATTTTAAGGAGAGAAGCAGGAAGCATACTGACATTTTAATAGAGATTTGAGGAGTAGGAGTTGATCAGAGAGTTAAATATAGATTGTTCTAGAGTTAAAAAGCAAGAGACATTTTCCCCACCAAGACCAATTTTTCAACCCAGAAACCAGCTGAGAAATTTTGCAGTTTGGTGTTTCCTACGTGACTGACTGTGTGGTTCTACCGTTTGTTGTCTCCTTTAATCCCCGCAGTCACTGGAGGCTTCTACTCCGTTTTAGGAAGTGAGGAAGAGTTCAGAAGGTGGAGGTGACTTACCATAGGTCACATTCCTAGTGAGAGGCAAAGCGAGGATTCAGATAACCAGGGTTTCTGGAAGGTAATCCAGGGCACTGTCCACCGCCTGATGCTTGCTTCCTGGCTCACCTTATCCAGAAAGTGCATAGTGTAAATTAAAACAACAACCACAACTGTGGATTATGTACTTTCATAAAAAAATGAGTCATGAGTAGTAGTCAATGTTATTTATGAGAAGAGCCTTGGACATTGTATAGTTTCATAGTTTTGAAATGTTTTGATTTTTAGGCATGGAACTCTTTCTTCAAATGAAATTTTATGTCATAGTCAGGTACATAAAATGGATAATGAATGCATAGTATCATTCCTTTCTGGAGAGGAGAGGGACCCGTAGTCCATGGGCTTAACCTTCTCTTTCTTAGGGTCTTAAGGAGTTCTTGAGAAGCTATTTTGATAGTCTTTGTTTAGAACTGAGGAAACTGAGACCTAGATAGGGTAAATGACTTGTTCACTTTCCCCTAATTATATAGTACAGGGATTTCAATCACATTCTTCTTTGCAGTTGCAAGCTGAGTCACAAAGAGTTTGTTGCTAATGAAAAAAACCACTTATAAAAATCAATTAGCATTAATTCAAGGTTATCCTAAATAATATCGTTTTCCATAGTCACATTCCAGTTTGGTGGTCCTTTTACGTAGTCCATGGCATATCAGATCCATATCACAGTTCTTATTAAACGTCTGTTGCAGTTAATCACGTGTGTTGAGTGGCAAGGCCAACAGGCACAGCTTCATACTGTATGGACTAGGACTAGACTGTTGTCTTCTATTCAGAGCTTTTTACAGTACATTTCTTGTATATTTGGCTCATCCTCTAAAATATATAAAATTCTCAATACATATTTAAATAGGAGAGTGTCAGAATTTGAGTAGATGAAATTTATGGGTAATATTTAGACTTCACTGATGTTAATAACTTTGATGTCTGTTCCAATTTTGAATATCTTTTCTGTTAGAAGTGTGAACAAGCAGTGAATCGGGTACAAGGAAGTTCATCTTCAGATTGGGTAAAAAGTTTTTTTATTCCCCACATGTCTAGATGTTGTTCTCTTGTCTTAGGAGAGTCGAGCCCTACCCGTCGAGAAGCTGTGAAGAGAAGAACAGCTGAGTATCTCATGCGGGCAGAGAGTATCTCCAGCCTTTACAGAAAACCTCAACTCGACGATTCATCACAGGTATGTTTTTGTTTTATTCTGTATTTTCTTTAGCCCCTTTTACTCTCTTGTCTCTCAGCTTTACTTCCAATTAGAATGTTTGAGAATTTTGGTCTTTGGAATTTTATCAATAATTTTCTTAAAATGTTTTGGAGGAAAGAAAAGCGTTAAAGCACAGAAAGTGGAGTAAAATGTTACTCTTCCCTTCTCTTCTCGGCCCTTTGTTGCCCCCCAGTCTCCCCATCTGTAGAATGGCAGTCATTTATACTGTCAAGACATCTCTCTGTATTTGAATTTTTAAAAGTTAAATTATGATTGTTGTGCAATTCCTATACAGTTTTACTGATTCATGGTAAAACTGTTTCATTTAACTACCGTATTTTTACACAAATAACATGAGCGTAATACGATTTTTTCCAGCCGCCCAACCCCCTTAGGCATTATTTTCCTAGGTGTGCTATGTGCGTTATGTGTGTGAGCGTGTTGTTTATGTGGGGTGTGTTATTTGTGAAAAAAATACGGTAATTTCTTCCATTGTAAGTATAAGTCCTACAAGTATAGACCAATAGAGCACCTGGTACTATAAAGACCTAATCCTAGCAGAGATGTTTGGGTTACAGGGGCTGCCCCTAGTCTTGTCTAAAAGGCAGGTGAATACTTAAACTGTGTGGTTTATTATTATTGTTTTTATGTCATACCTTTCTGGATTTGGTAAATTCCTGGAAGAAACTTTTCTGTTATTTTTTCTTTATATCAAAGTAATTTTTTCTGACACAATTTATGAATCATATCTTAGGGAGATGAGGAGCAGTGCTGAGTCTGTTCTTTTCATTGGTCTAAGAGTCAGGCAGCCTCGATTCATATCTCAGCTGTGCCACTTGAAGCCATGTAAGACTGGATAAAATACTTAACCCCACTTCAGAGCCTCAGTTTCTACAGAAAAATGGACATGATAATAATATAACTGAGGCTCAAAGGTGGTTAAAGAAGAGAAATAATGAATTCATGAAGCTAGTCAAGAACTCTAGAGGACATTTAACCTCAGTTATAGATAAGTAGTCAAGCATACTCCTGACCAGTAAGGCTTGATAGAATAAAGTACACAAGGGAAAATAAAACCAAGTGCTTAACATATGAGGAACCCGTCTTGCCTACTCTGCTCAAGCCTCCTTGACTGTTACTATCAGCTTTCCTGTATTGGATCTCTTTAACTTTCATTAGAAGGTATACTCGACGGGAAGTTCTGACTGATGTATGTCATGGTTCTGTTCTCCAAGCAGAAAGCGAAACAGAAGGTGTAATATATTTATTTACCCAATGTAGGAGAGCTGATTTTAGGTTGTATATTAAGTCATTAAGCCTCGATTAAGGCCCTAGGTGTATACTCTGACAAATTAGATACTCTTTGGAGGTACACAAAAGGTAATGACATAGTCTCTATTCTGGCAGACCCCATAGCATAATTGAGGACCTGAAATATGTGCATAGTTGAGGGAACAAAAGGTAAAGAGCCAGGTAAACAACAGTGGGAAATTATAGTAGAGAGGGAGAAAAGGGGTATCTACCAAATCAGATTTAATATGCTAGGGTTTGGTCAGGCCCAAGAGCAGGCAAGATGGTTTTCTCGTATGTTAAGCATTTGTTTTTATTTTCCATTTTGTAGTTTATTCTGTTAAGCCTGGTCCTTACTGGTCAGGGGCATGCCTAATTATTTTCTTGTCTGTAATTTAAGCTAAATGTCCTCTAGAGGTTCTTGATTAGCTTGGTGAATTAGTTATTTCTCTTTTTTAACCAAATATTTGAGCCTCAATTTCAACCAATACAATGAAAGGATTTCTACATCTCCTTTAGCTCTTAAATTCTGTGCAATGGTGTTTTATACATGTGTAAACATTTATTTCTAGCCAGTTCTATTAAGAAAATAAAGAATTCCTCTTCGGTTTCTTGAACTTTTCTCGATTATTGTTTTCCCCTTTGGTGTAATCTAAGTCTTGCCTCCCTCCACCACAGCTTCTGATGGTTTTAGCTTTTGTTTTATTGAACTTGGGAGACTTTTAAGTGGTAAATATAAAACTTCTGCCTTTCTCAGTCAGTCATGTTAATATCCTCTTCAAAAAAGGATAGAAAGGAACAAAAGCACTCTCCTACTCTTTCTTTTCTTCATTATTAAAAGGCTCCAAGAAAATTTAAGGAGCAGGTTTCAGATAAAAAGAAAATGAGCTTTGTTTGATGTAAAGTTGAAGTCTTAACTGAAGGGGTCATGCCTTTTTTTTTTTTTTTTAATTGTAGATGATTTTAAATGATTTAAGAATTGATATTAGAAGGGGATTTCCTGGGAAAGACATGGAATAGCTTTTTTTTTCTTTTTGCTATTTTCAGCTGTAGGAATTTTAAACTCAAGATACATAATGAAATTTAGAAAAGGAAAGTAATGATCTAAATTTAGGACATAAAAGATCACACCATTTCTGAAGTGTGAATACATTTTTATCATGCAATTACAAGGTGTGCATAAGTATTAATATGTTGAATGTATGGCAGTCCTGAATATTTTGTAGATTTTGAGTTCAAGTACTATAATGATATTGAAAATGTTTCCCTATTGTGCATTTGGTTTGCTGGCATTATTAGTTGGTAGTTTTGAATTTTTCTTTAGAAAACACTTTAAAAGAATATTATGTCACCCTCAATGAGACGTGGGCTAAACATAGATGGAAGTCAGGGACATTCTAAATCAGTAACAGGACTGCAGGTAACTGTCAGGCTTGAAATGGGATCTAAGAGAGACTTAGGAAACTGGGTATTGAGGGTTGTTCTTGTTGTTAGGTGCTGTTGAGTCAGTTCCAACTGACAGCGACCCTGTGTATAACAGAACAAAACACTGCCTGGTCTTGCGCCATCCTCACAATTGTTGTTATGCTTGAGTCCCTCGTTGCAGCCACTGTGTCAGTCCATTTCGTTGAGGGTCTTCCTCTTTTTCACTGACCCTCTGCTTTACCAAGCATGATGTCCTTCTCCAGGGACAGATCCCTCCTGACAACATGTCTAAAGTATGTGAGACATAGTCTTGCCATCCTTGCTTCTAAGGAGCATTCTAGCTAAACTTCTTCCAAGACAGATTTGTTCGTTCTGTTGGCAGTCCACGGTATATTCAATATTCTTTGCCAGCACTGTAATTCAAAGACATCAATTCTTCTTTGGTCTTGCTTATTCATTGTCCAGCTTTCGCCTGCTTATGAGACAATTGAAAACACCATGGCCTGGGTCAGGCGCACCTTAGTCCTTAAAGTGACCTCTTTGCTTTTTAATATTTGAAGAGTTCTTTTGCAACATATTTGCCCAATACAATGTGTCTTTTGATTTCTTGACTGCTGCTTCCAGGAGCGTTGATTGTGGATCCAAGTAAAATGAAATCCTTGACAACCTCAATCTTTTCTCTGTTTATCATGATGTTGCTTATTGGTCCAGTTGTGAGGATTTTTGTTTACTTTATGTTGAGGTGTAATCCATACTGAAGGCTGTGGTCTTTGACCTTCATCAGTAAGTGCTTCAAGTCGTCTTCACTTTCAGCAAACAAGGTTGTGTCATCTGCATAATGCAGGTTGTTAATGAGTCTTCCTCCAATCCTGATGCCCTGTTCTTCTTCATATAGTCCAGCTTCTGAGATTATAATGTTCAGCAAACAGATTGAATAAGTATGGTGAAAGGATACAACCCTGAGGCACACCTTTACTGACTCTAAACCATGCAGTATCCCCTCGTTCTGTTCGAATGACTGCCTATTGATCTAAATACAGGTTCTTCATGAGCACAATGACGTATTCTGGGATTCCCATTCTTTGCAATATTAGTCATAATATGTTATGATCCACACAGTTGAATGCCTTTGCACAGTCAATAAAACACAGGTAAACATCTTTCTGATATTCTCTGCTTTCAACCAGATCCATCTGACATCAGCAATGATATCCCTGGTTCTAAGTCCTCTTCTGAATCCGGCCTAAATTTCTGACAATTCCCTGTTGATGTACTGCTGCAGCCACTTCTGAATGATCTTCAGCAAAATTTTACTTATATGTGATAGTAATGATATTGTTCGATAATTTCCACGTTCCATTGGATCACCTTTCTTTGGAATAGGCATAAATATGGATCTCTTCCAGTCGGTTGGCCACGTAGCTGTCTTCCAAATTTCTTGGCACAGACAAATGAGCACATCCAGCACTGCATCTGTTTGTTAAAACATCTCAGTTGTTATTCTGTCAATTCCTGGAGCCTTGTTTTTGGTCAACGCCTTCAGTGCAGCTTGGACCTCTTCCTTCAGTACCATTGGTTCCTGATTGTCTTAGGCTGGGTTCTCTAGAGAAGCAAAACCAGTAAAGCATATAAATATATATACAGATTTATATCAAGGAAATGGCTCATGTGATTGTAGAGGCTGGTACATCCCAAGTCCATGGATCAGGGTAGAGGCATCTTTCGATTCACGTAGCCACATGGGCTGGCGAACCCCAGATTGGCAGGTCAGAGAGCAGGACTCCTGCTCACAGGCTGTGAAGATTGACAAATCCCAAGATTGGCAGGCAAGACTGCAAGGCTTTTCCTAATTCACGTAGGTGCAGGGGCTGCTGAACCCAAGACTGGCAGGTTGGAGAGCAGGACTCTCACTCACAGGCTGTGAAGATCGACAAATCAACGAGTAAGCCGATAGCTCAAGTTCCAAGAACCGGAGGTCAGACGAACAGCAGGCAGCTGCAGGATCCAGAGCGAGCAAAAAGCCAGAATGTCTGCTTATATTCAGATGCAGGCCACACCCCCAAGGAAACTCCCTTTCAACTGATTGACTACTCACAGCAGATTCCATCATGGGAGTGATCACATATAAACACTGAGAATCATGGCCCAGCCAAGGTGACACACAATCTTAACCATGACACTGATCATATGCTACCTCTTGAAATGGCTGAATGCCAACCAATTCTTTTCGGTATAGCGACTCTGTGTATTCCTCCCATCTTCTT